AAAAAAAAACTGAAAAAATTAAAAAATAAAAATTGGTATCAAGGGTTGTAGAAATCACTCAGCAGTTAAAACCACTGGCTGCTCTTGCAGAGGAGACCCATGTTCAATTTCCAGCACCCACATGGTGGCTAACAAATGTCTGTAATTCCAGTTCCAGGGGAATCTAACAACCTCTTCTGACTTCTGAGGGTAGTGCATGACGTGGGTCCATCTACATGCAAGCCATACAGTCATAAACATAAAACTAAAAAATGACACCAAGAGAAAACCAGGGTATTTACCTCTCCTAGAGTAAAACTTACGAGTTTTGACTCTAAACAGAACTAATACTATAAGTGACTGTAGGAAGCTTTAAAGGGTCCCATAATTACAGAGTGAAGAAAATCTGAGTTTTCTTTTTCACACTAACACAAACAAGTGTCATTCTTTAGGCCTATTCTGTAGGTCACTGGCTTATTCTAATTTAATCTATCATTCATTATTAAGCAAATAACATTTACTAGATAGTGTAAATTACCCTTAAACTAGCCAACTGTTAATCTACATGTGTCACAAAATTAAATACTATAAATATCCACATTTAACACACTTGTTCAAGACCAGCATGGTGGCATACACTTGTAAGTCCATCACTTTGGAGGTATAGGTAAGAGGATCAGGAGTGCAAGATTATCTTTGGCTACATAGCAAGTTTGACGCCAGCCTACGCTACAGGAGGTTTCAACCAACTAACCAATCAACCAAACAAACAAGCAAACAAACTAAACTAGTCCAATGGTTTGCTATTTTCAAATAACATGGCTTAAATAACTGATTTTAAGAGGTAACTAATTTGCAGGGCATGGTGACATATGTGGATCGCTGTGCATTCAAGGCCAGTCTGCTCTACACAGTGAGAACCAGGTCAGCTAGGGCTACAGGGAGACCCTGTCTCAAAAAGATCAAAAAAATTTTTTAAAAGTAACTAATTTATTGGCTTCTTATATTTGAAAATATTTTCCATACTTCTTTTTAAAATTTATTTTTTTTTAATTTTTATTTTATGTGTATGAGTGTTTTGCTTGCACTGTATGCAAGTGTACCTGTGCATGCAATACCAGCGGAGGGCAGGAGAGGTGGTCAGACCTCCTGGAACTGGAGTTACAGATGGTTGTTAGCAACCATGTGGGTGCAGGGAACCAAACTCAGGTCCTCTGCCAGGTAGCCAGTGCTCTTAACAACTGTGCCATCTCTCCAAGTCCCCATACTCCTTAACAGAATGGAAGAGCAAAGGAAACATAATTTAATTCCTCAAGGGTGAAAATAAACTATTTTTCCTTAAACACATCTAAGTGATAAAAACTCATAGAATAAAAAATAGCAAAACAAGTTTAGGTGCTTATGGAGAGAAATTAAATAACTCCAAAAATCCTAAGAAAGAAAATGAGAAACAAGGACTATCAGTTAGTTTTACCATTACACTTTTAAAAAGGAAAGAAAAAAACACCTTACGAGATGTTCACCTTTGATTTTTTCTTTTCCTTGTAGTTCTTGGCTTCTTCTGCTGCAACACCTGCTGCTTCATTGAGATACTTGTTACCAACTTTGCTTTCAAACCACTTTAGGTCCACAAAAACTTCACTGAAGTGCTCTCGATCAAACTGAACAAGAAAATTAAAATTAATTTTAAGATGATTTAAGTATGTCTGAAAGAATGTAAACTAACGGAAAGTATTTCTGGGGTACAGAAATATCATAGTGATCCCATCATTCACTCTGAAAATTACATATAAAAATAAATAATAATAGAATCAATTCAGGTGCAATCATACAGAATGATCAATTAGAACACAGTTACAAAACATTTTTTTCTGGTATTATCTAATTGATTAATAATACTATGATAGAAAACAATAATTTAAGCCGAGCATGGTGGCACACGCCTTTAGTCCCAGCACTCAGGAGGCAGAGGCAGGTGGATCTCTGTGAATTCAAGGCCAGCCTAGTCTACAAAGGAAGTTCCAGGCCAGTTGGTGCTATAGGGAGACCCTGTCTCAAAAAGACAAAAAAAAAAAAGAAAACAGAGAAAAGAAAAAAAGAAAAGAAAAGAAAAAGTTATAGTTACTTACATCTGATAATTTCACAAGATATTTCTCAAATCTAGGTAAGTTGAGATGTCCACTTTCATTAATATAACCTAAAACAGACAAAATCTAAACTTGTAGTATAATGACATGACGTTTTTCTAAATAGGTCTGCAAAATTCTACAAACTGTTAAATGTTAACAACTCATTGTTTTGCTACCTTCTAATCCATCTTTAGTTCCTATAACCTTTATATCATTATATTTTATGCACTGAAGTAAAATATTAGAAATTCAAGGTTTACATAAGAATAATAATCCTTCCAGGGGCTAGAGAGATGGCTCAGCAACTAAGAGCACCATCTGTTCTTCAAGATGATCTGGGTTTGGTTCCCAGCACCCACAAGACAATCGTTCGCAACTCTAGTTCCAGGGAATCTGACTACCTCTTTGGATATCTGTGGGCAATGTATGACATGTGTGCATATACATGCAATCAAAACACTCATACACATAAAGTATAAATCTTTTTTAAAAAATCCTTCCACATTTGCAAACACGTGGTAAAAACTACATATGTATTTGAGCCTATTCATATCAGTCAATTTGATGTTAACCTAAGAAAAGGTGTAGCTGGGCATGCTGGCACACACTTGTAATCTTTACATTTGGGAGGGTGAGGCAGGAGGATTTTGAATTTTAGGCCAGCATGGGCTACACAGTGAGACCTTCCCCTCAAAAATAAAAATAAAAGAGGGGCTAGAGAGATGGCTCAGTGGTTAAGAGTATGTATTACAGTCTGCAGCCATGGCTTAGCGGTTAAGAGCACTGGCTGCTCTTCCAGAGGACCCGGATTGAAATCTCAGCACCTACATGGTGGCCAACAACTGGCTGAAACTCCAGTTCCAGGGAATCTGATGCCCCTTTCTGACCTTCACAGGCATTGCACAGCACGGGTGCACTTATGTCCATGTAGACGATACACTCCTACACATAAAATAAAAATAATAATAAAAAAGAGTGTGTATTGCTCTTGTAAAGAACCCAAATTTTGTTCTCAGGATTCATGTCAGGCAGCTCACAACTGCCTGTAACTATAGCTCCAGGGCATTTAGCACCTTCTATAATGAAGTAAGAAAAGAATCAAATGAGGGGCTGGAGAGATAGCTCAGTGGTTAAGAGTACTGGCTGTTTTTGCAGAAAACCCGGGTTCGAATCCCAGCACCCACATGCTGGCTAACAACTGTCCATAACTCCAGTTCCAGGGGATCCAACACCTTCTTCTGTCCCCTGTGGTCACTGCGTGACACAAGTGCACTTACAACACATGCAGACATAACACTCGTACACATAAAATAAATATAATTAAAAAAGAATTAAATGAAACCAATGAGGTCTGCAGGTTCTCTTAAGGAAGCAAAGGAAAGATTAGTTACTAATATCAATAAATGGAGCTGTGTTCAGTTTCTTTCTTGGGACTGACTTTTCTTTTCTTGGGACTGACTGAAAATGACAATCTCAGTGCCTGTCTCCTTAGTCTAAAAAAACTCTCGATATTATCCTACTTTAGTTAGTTGTGCATAAAATAAATAGAGTAAGCAACATTTTTTGGGTAAGTTGGTACTAAATTAGCAACAGTTTTCTTACCTCCAAGTTCTGGCAGGATGGTAATGTATGTTCCATAAAGAAGAGGCAGTGCATCATGATTAATATGTAAATGAGGTAGATGAGGGATAAAATCATTGCCAACAAGAAATCCCATCAAAATCCAATCATCTATAATTTTTTCAATATCATATTTAAATGTGATCTTTTCCTATGGCAAAATGAAGAACAAAATGAAACCTTATTGAAGTTTCTGCATGTAAAACCCTTGCTCCATAGCTGTAGTGATACTTACTTTTAACACTGAAAATTCATAATCAATATACTCTCTCATTAAAGACAAGTGTAGAAGGTGAAATGTTGTTTCTTCTGGTGCGCATACCCTGAAATTGGGCGACCAAAACAGTGAATTATATTTTCAAGGTCCAACTTCAAAAATATACTAATAAGTTAAAATTATTAGGAGATAATTTGAATAATTAAAATATAACTTATATATTATATAAAATTGCAACTATAATAAATGAAACATGATAAAGTTCAAAAATTGGCTTACATTATTCTTTTTGTGGAAAGCTCTTAAGAATTTAGAAGCCCTAAATAATGCACAATACATATAAGATACCAGTGTGATCTGGCACACTTACAGCTGGGCATCATTAAAGAGCCTATGTATATATCTATGCAACATAGGCCAGGACCACAATAGTAAAGCAATTATCACCTGGGTTGGGATAATTTTTTAGGGACTATACTCCAAGCTTAACTACAAGGACGAATATTAGGGGACAGTAACATATTTAAATAGATTACATATATTTTTTACAAGCAAGATTTATGCCAAGAATGCAAGGGCAGTAAAACAGAAATCAACATCATATATCACATTAACAGAAGGGGGAAAAGTTTCATGACCATTTTGCAGAAAAAGCATTTAACAATATTAAACATTCTCCCATGATAAACATATTGAGGAAGCTAAAATGAAAAGGTTATTTTCTGATCCAGAGTGGTGGTATATACCTGTAATGCAAGTATTCAGGAGGCAGAGGCAGAAGGGTAATGATTCTGAGGCTCGTGTGGGCTAAACAGTTTTAGAGTACTAGGTTAGCTTGGTCTATAGAAAGACAGTATTAAAATTAGATGGTGTTGGAGAGATGGCCAGCAGTTAAGAGCACTTGCTGCCCTTGTAGAGGACCCAGGTTCCATTCCCAACACCTACATGGTGGCAAACAACTGTCTTTAACTTCAGTTCCAGGAGATCTGATGTCCTCTTCTGTCCTCTGCAGACACTGCACATATGGTGCACTTTTAAGCAGGCAAAACACTCATACACATAATATAAAAATAAATTAAAATTTTGGCTGAGAGGGCCAGAGAACCAACTCCTGCAGTCATGTGGCATGTGCCTGCACACACACACACACACACACACACACACACACACAAATAAATGTAAAAAATATTTTCAAAAAAAAAGAGAGAGCCGGGCGTGGTGGTGCACACCTTTAGTCCCAGCATTTGGGAGGCAGAGGCAGGCAGATCTCTGTGAGTTCGAGGCCAGTCTGGTCTACAGAGTGAGTTCCAGGCCAGCTGGGGCTTCGAAACTTCTGTTTTCAGATAATGTGATTTTATATACAGAAAATTCCATAAAACACAGAAAAATGATACTAGGGCTAATAAACAAGTACAACATATTTGTAGAAAACAAGGCCAGTTGTATTTCCATACAAAACCAAAGAACAAATCAAAAGGAAATTAAGAAAATGATTCCATTTAAAAAGGACATCCAGAAGAATTAGTTAGGAGTAAGCTTAATGAAGGAGCCTTGTGAAAGAGTTCACAAGGAAAACAATAAAATGTTCTTGAAAGAAATTAAAGTACACAAAACATATGGTCACAGACTAGAAGACTCAATGACAAGATGTTTTATGAGATCTACAGATTCAAAGCTATGCCTATCAAAATCCTAATGTTTTCCACAAAATAAGAAAATTTATCCTAAAAATTATACTTTCAAGAGACCCTAAATACACAAAACAATCTTGAAAAAAGAATAAAGTTTGGGGTTTCACTCTTCTTGATTTCAACACTAACTACATTAAAGCTACAGTAATGCAACAGTCATGTCATAAAGAGAAGCATACAGAACAAGGCACAGAAGAGAAAACACAAGAAATAGAACTGGGCACATATGGTCAAATGATTTTCAACCAGATACCAAGACTGATAATAGGGAAACAACAGAGTTCTCAACAAATGGTGATGGGACAATTGGGTTTCCACATACAAAGAATGGAGTTGGAATTTTAAATACCATATGCAAACATTAATTCAAAATAGTTAAGTGACCTAAGTGTGTAAAAACTATAGAACTCAGAGCCAGGACACAGCTCAGCAGTAGAGTGTCTTTTTATCCCTGGGTTCAAACATTAGCACTATAAAAACAACCGAAGCCCAAATAGAAACAAACAAATCCTCCACAAAAACGTTTAGAATAAACACAGAAGATAACTTTTGTGGTGTTAGATTTGGCAATGATTTCTTGGACATTACATACACTAAAAGCACAGGCAACAAGAGAAGATAAACTGCACTACACCAAAATTGGAAACTTGGCATAAGAAAGGACACTCACAAGGGTGAAAAGGTAACCCACGGACTAAGAGAAAATATTTACATATTGCATTTGTTAAAAGATTACTATCCATGCTTAATTTTTGTTCTTTCTTCCAACATGCACACTGTATGATTTACCTTTGTGTTTTTTTTCCACCAAATCGAACTTCTTCTCTTAATAGAGAGAAATGTGCTTCGTGACTTGTTAATCCAAGCATGATCTGTTGAAAAATGATTACAAATATTTCTATTCTACCATTGTCAATACCACTAGATTTATGAAAGCAATTTAATAAAAGATCTATATAGAGAACAATTTAAAAATTAAATAGAAAAATTAAAGTTAAATATACAAATAAAAATAAACACACTGTAGGATATGAACAGGATAAAGCAGGCATACTTTTCTAGAACTATGTTTACCTTAGAGTCCCATAAGCTTTATAAATGGAATTACTCTTTCCCTACTCCTCTTCGCCCCAAAAACTTTCTCTTGATTTTTCACATTCCTACTTTCTATGAGGAAATGGGTTAGAAATCAGAGGCAGCAGCTTTTCCATGATAAAAGAATACAGATAAATTTTAGAGGCCAGAATTACATATTTATGTGAAAATTCATTTATAGAAATATAAAAAGGCATTTTAATTTTCTCATATAGTATTTTAATTCCCAAAATAACTCAAAAGTCTACTGAAACATATGAACCAATTGTAATGCATATTATTTTAATCCTGATTTGAACAAGAGAACAAAATATAACATTTATGAGACAACGGGGGAGATGAAGTTGTTTATATATTGTCATAATGTTAATTTTTATGTGTGATAATGGCACTGTTGTAGCTTTTTCAGAAAAGCTTCTTTTTCTTTTCCTCGTTTTTTTTGGTCTTTTTGAGACAGGGTCTCCCTATAGCTTCAGCTAACCTGCAACTTGATATATAGACCAGGCTGGCCTTGAACACACACAGATCCTTCTGCTCTGCCTCCCAAGTGCTGGAATTAAAGGCGTGCAACACCATGCCTAGCTATGGAAAAGATTCTTTAGAGGAGTACATTATAGAAACGTGTGTGTGTGTGAAAATATGTATATATTAATTGATAACAGTGCATGGGATTTGCTTCAGTAACCTCACATGGTAGGAAAGAGACAGATGATTGGGGTAAGTGTCAAAAATTAACACTTAAGGTAGTTGAAGGGTACAAGGAAGGTCATTATACTATCTTGTCAATTTTTTTACTAACTTGAAAATTTCTGCAATAAAAAGTGAAACAAACCAGACATGGTAGTACACACCTTTAATCCCAGCATGGGGAAGATATAGGCAGGCGGATCTTTGTGAGATCGAGGCCAGCCTGGTCTACTTAGTGAGTTCTAGGCCAGCTGGAGCTATAGGGAGACCCTATTTCAAAAAAAGCAAACCAAAAAAACCAACCCCACCTGGCAAAAAACAACAATAAAGAAACACAGCCAAAAAACAAAACAACAACAAAAAAAGTCAAACAAATATAGAAAGGACTTGGGGCCCAGAGCTGGGAGATCTAGACCTCTAAAAAGGTCCCCTTCCATGACCTCAGCATTTTCTTTTCAGCACAGCATTCATAGAACTAGGGGTACTCAGGTCTGTAGACTATATAGTGCTCAGTTAGTCATAAACTATGAAAAGCAATCTTATTTTTCCAATTGTTTTAGAACGTGGACTATGGCAAATTCAGTAATCACTGTTTTCTGCATTTGTTTCTATAGTCAGTTAACATCCTGTATAAAAACTACATCTCTCAGATATTTAGCTCAATGACATAAGCTTATAACGACAATAAATATTATACCTACCAAGTCAGCATCTAAGCCATAAAGACAATGTCTGGTGTTTGGATCATGATCTGGCTTTGCTTTCTCGGATCTGATAAATTCCATAATTTTATGCTCTCCTTCTCCAGGAGTCTAAACATAAATTTTTTAAAAAAAATGTAATAATATGCTTCAAAATATTAAACTTTTCAAAATTCTTTAAATTAAAAACAAAAAAAAAAAGATGATAACCTCATGGCCTGAGAAGTAGATGGTAACTCCTTGCCATGACTTGTCTGTGGAAATTTTCATATTTACAAAATACTTCAGATGTTCATGTAACCTGGCCATGAATTCAGTCCCTACAAATAGAAGTTTATAAAGGTTAATACGAGAAAAACAAGATAGTAAAAACAGTAAGTTTCTAATAACAACATATAAATTAGTATCTTCAGGGAAGAAAGTAAAAAGTTCCCCTACTTATGCTAAAAGCAAGTCACGTTATATCCTTCCCCAACAAATACCCTAAATATTTCATGTGTCACTACTAATCCTAAACGAAGTCAGTGTCACAAACAGAAACTCAAGAATTTTATTACATCAGCTACAGATTGTGCTTTAAGTATTTTTATATAAGAGCAGTTTGAACTCTTAACAAACTTCAATTTTCTACTTTTTTTTGCTAGATTCCTAAGTACTTTAAATTTATTTTTACTATTATTAGTGTGAGCATGTGTATAATGTGAGAAGGTGAGGATATGCATGTTGTGGTAAATGAGTGACAGTCAGAGGGCGATTTTTAGTAGTCTGTTCCATCCTACTGTGGGTTCTGGGAATTGAACTCAGGACATCAGAATTGTATGGCAAGTGCTTTTACCCACTGAGCCATTTTGCTGGCCCTGAAATATTTTTTAAGGCATGCAACTTTAATCAGATTGGCAATAACTATTATTAATGTATTGTTATTAATAACTATTATTCCTTTTTTAAATTTTTAAAAAATTTTAGGTGTATGAGTGTATTGCCTGCACATGTGTAGTGCATCTATGTATCTATGTCGTGTAATGCCTGCAGCAGTCAGAAGAGGGCTTCAGATCCCCTGGAACTAGAGTTATGGACAATTGTTAGCCACCATGCGGGTGCTGAGAATCAAACCTAGGTCCTCTGTAAGAGTAGTATCTGCTCTTAACCACTGAGCCATCTCTCCAGCCTCTATTACCTTTTTTTTGAGACAGGGTTTGTACTCCAGGTTAGCCTTGAACTCACTATAGTAGCCAAGGCTGACCATGAGCTTCTGATCCTCCTGCCTCTACTTCCTGAGTGCTAGGATTATAGGCATGCACCACCATATCTGATTTATACTGTGCTGGGGACTGAACCCAGAGCTACCAACTGAGCCACATTTCCACTCCAACAACTATTTTGCGAGTGTGTTCATGTATGTGTGCATATAGATACATGAAAGTACATGTGTTTATGTGGAGGCCAGAGGACAACCTGGGGTGTGATTCTTCTTTGACAACCTGGGGTGTGATTCTTCTTTAGGTGCTGTCCACCTTGTTCTTCGAGACATAGTCTCCTGTTGTGACCTGTGACTCACCAAGTAGGTTAACCTGTTTGACCACTGAGCCCCAGGGATTATCCTGTCTTACCTCCCCAGCGTTAGGATTATACCATCATACCTAGATTTTTTTTTTTTTTTAATTTTTATTTTTTGTGTATTGGTATGTTGCCTGCATGTAGGTAAGTGCACCCCTGTCGTGCAATGCCTGCAGAGGTCAGAAGAGGCTAGGCTGTTGGATCCCCTGGGACTGGAGTTACGGACAGTTGTTAGCTGCCATGTGGGTGCTGGGATTTGAACCCGGGTCTTCTATAAGAACAACCAGTGTTCTTAATCGTTGAGCCATCTCTCCAGCCCCATACCTAGATTTTTATGTGGGTGCTAGGGATCAAAGTTAGGTCCTCATGCTTGAGTGGTAAGCACTTTACTGACTGAGTTATCTCCCCAGCTCCCAATAACTAGGAGACCAGCCTAATTTATATAATGAATTCTAGGTCAGCTGGGGCTACATGAAGACCCTGTCTCAAAAACCTAAGAAAAAATTCACTATTGCTTTTAAGGAATTTTAAAACTTAACACTGAAGAAGTTACATTTTTGTTCAAAATAAAGGACTGTAAATATGCTGGTGAAGGGGCTGGAGAGATGGCTCAGAAATTAAGAGCACTTGCTACTCTTGCAGAGAACCTGGGTTCAGTGCTCAGAACTCACATCAAGAGGCTCACAACTGCCTGTTAAGTCCAGTTCCAGGGATTTGATACCTTCTCCTGGCCTCTGTGGCCACACACATAAACGTAAAATAAAATAAATAAACCTTTAAGATGCTAGTGAAACCTCTTAAGTGTATTAAGTAGGCTGTTGTACATAAAATTAAGTTAAATATATTAACTTATTTTTTAAAATATTTATTGTGTGTGTGTGTGTGTGTGTGTGTGTGTGTGTGTGTAAGTCAAAGGACAACTTGTGGGAGTCAGTCTCTCCTTCTACCATGTGGGTTCCAGGGATTGACCTCAGGCCATCAGGCTGAACAAGTGCCTTTACCTGCTTGAGCCATCCTGTCAGCCCTATTTTTCTTAAAGTCATAGAAATCCTAATTGCTTTAGAGAAGAAGAGTAGTAAGCTCTCTGGACTAAAAGAATAGATTTATCATCCTGAAACCACAAGGTAGGTACATAAACCTGGTAAGTTACAAATCACTGAGTCTGTCTGATACTAATAACTGGACAAAGCAGAACTGAAAAGACCTTGTAAGTTCCTTCCAAGTCTGGAATTCTGTGTAGCTAGAAGAGTTCTCTTTCTACCTGCTCTCATCAACATCTGAAAAATCCCATGAGTGTTTTAGGAACACTCAGAACCAAGAAGACCAGACCATCTCATAAGTAGAGCTGTAAGTGGGAAATATGGAACGTCTAAGGCTAAAATAAAGTCTAAAAAATAAAAGTATATAGCCGGGCATGGTGGCACAGGCCTTTAGTCCCAGCACTTGGGAGGCAGAGGCAGGTGGATCTCTGTGAGTTCAAGGCCAGCCTGGTGTATATAGTGAGTTCCAGGCCACCTTGGGGCTACAGGGAGACCATGTCTCAAAGACCAAAAAAAAAAATAAATAAATAAATAAATTTCACTTATTATACCTGACGTCTTCCAGAATTTTTCTCTCAGTGAGTTTACCTGGTGTAATACAGTTGGAATCAAATCTGGCTTCTGTGGGAAGAGTTTCTCCCTTTTCTATTGCTTTTTTTATTTTGTCTTCTGCCTCCTTGGCTGACCTTAAAAATTAAAGGGAAAAAATATCTTAAACATTCTTGAAAATAAAATAATTATCTCTACAAATAAATATCTTTACACAAACTATTAATTAGACACTTTCATTATTGTTGTTTGAGACAGGGTGTCCTTGTAACACCTGGCTAGAACTGGCCTAGAACTCAACTGGCCTAGAACTTACTATGCAGACCAGGTTGCCTTGATCTCACCGAGATCCACTTGCCTCTGTGCCCTGAGTATTGGGATTAGAGATGTGCATAACCATGCCCAGAATTAATTAGAAGCTTTTGTAACTAAAATACTAATTCATCAATCTTCAGGTTCAAACTATTAAAGTTTTCAAATAATTATAATTAACAAGAATGAGCCTAGGAATTCTTTGTTTTTATTTACTGAATAATTTTTTAAATATGAAGTCTACAGACACTGAACTTTAAAACAATAAAACATACATGGAATATTACAAAAACTTAAGTAATCCTATCATAAACAAATGGCAAATTTATGCTAGAAACAAGGTCAAAAATATTGCACAGCTTTATTTGCTGTATTTACTATGTTTAATTATGTATCATTTAAGTCTAGCTTCAATACATAAAAGACATTTAATGCAGACAAAGATAAGTCTATGCTGATACTAGATTTTAAAAGGTGACAAAGCGTAACTAGGTTGTGGCATAAGGAAAAGGAAAGGGTCCAAATTATTCCTGGACTTTGCATTAGGCAGCTAAGTACATGGGAAATGGAAAGAAGGCTGTTTTGTGGGGAAGATGAATTCAATTCTGAGCATAGTAAGCCTTAGTGTATCTGGGCTATCCAAAAGGAGTCACAGTGCAAGCATTTGGATATAAAGGAACTTGGGAGAGAGAAAAGCACTGTAAAAATAAAGTTGGGAGTCGTCAGCACAGAGAGAGCAATCAAAGTCATTAGATTTGATCACTCAGAGTCAGGACAGCCTTAGGGAAGATAACATTTAACAACAAACAGGAAGGGAAGATGACAAGAACACTAACAAGGCACCAAGAGAGCAAAGCTATATGAAAGCCAGGGAAAGAGAAATTCAAGAAAGAATCACTGACACTGTTGATAAAGGAAGCAATATAAAAGTCTTATTTTTGGATCAAGCCCTAATCCTATGATCTTGTAAGGAAATTTTGCTGGCATGGTATAGATAAAACCCAGAGGGGCAGAGGCAGGCAGATCTCTGTGAGTTCAAGGCCAGCCTAGTCTACACAGTGAGTTCCAGGCCAGCTGGTGCTACAGGGAGACCCTGTCTCAGAAAGACAAAAAAAAAAAAAGCCAGAGGACAGATTGAGAACTAAGAAGGAATTAAACATCAGGAAGCCAACAGGAGAATCTCTAGGGAACACAGGACACTTGATACCAGCCCAGCATTTAGCAACTACTTGTGGTGGTTACAGTATACTGACCCTCAATCCCCAGATTCCCTCAGATCCCATGGAGGAATTACAGATGGTTGTTAGTCACCATGTAGGTGCTTAGACTCGAACCCAGGCCTTCTGAAAGAGCAACCAGTGCTCTTAACTGTCATCTTTCCAGCCCCCTATAAAAAATTTTTTTATAAGACCCTAATTCTCAGCCAAGCATGATGGCACACATCTTTCATCCCAGCCCCCAGGAAGCAGAAATAGGTAGATACTGGTAGATTTCTTTTTAAGTTCAAGGCCAGCCTAGTCTATACAGTAAGCTCCAGGTGAGCTAGGGCTACATAGTGAGACCCTACCTCAAAACAAACAAACAAACAAAAAACAAAAGAAGAACCTAATTCCCTGTACTACATTTCTTTCTGCTTAAAATAGCTACAATGCTTTCTATTACCTTGAGGATGAAATCTGTTGGTATCATCTTTTCTCTTTTCTTTTCTTTTTTGGTCTTTTTGAGAAACGGTGCCCCTGCAGTCCCAGCTGGCCTGGAACTCACTATGTAGACTAGCCTGGACTTGAACTCACAAAGATCTGCCTGCCTCTGCCTGCTGAGTGCTAGGATTAAAGGCATATGCCACCATGCCCAGACCTATCTTACCTACCTTTTCTTAACACAAGATTTTCTAGGCTAGTGGTTCCCTAAAACTAGTTTAACAAATACCATGGGAGCCTAGTACAAATAGTTTCTAGATTCCTAGAGAATCTGATTATGTCTTTGGTAGTCCTTAAGAATCTTACCTTTGTGTGTGTGTGGGGGGGTGGGGCTAGAGAGATGGCTCAGCAGTTAAGAATACAGGCTGTTATTACAGAGGACCCTGGTTCAAATCCAAGCACCCACATGGCAGATAACAACCACCTGTAATGCCAGTTCCAGGGGATCTAACACCCTCTTCAGTGCACAACACGCACTTCATTGCATTACACATATGCAGGCAATATATTCATACACATAAAATAAAATAATAAAATACTAAAAAAGAATCTAAACTTTGGTAAGCGGAGGCATTTGCCTTCAAGGATCTGGGTCTTTTCAAGATTTGGGTTTTTTTTTCTTTTGGTATTTAAACCAGTACTCTTTGCCACTCTCTTCTCATCAAACACTCTGGACTCAGGGTACCTCCCCCAAAAGGTACATAGCCTGATATTATTATTTAGATATATTCTATATGTTCAAGATTTTGAGTGTAAGACCTTTTTAAAGTTTTACCCCTTTGCTTCTACACAGCGGTACTGATAATACCAAGTTTCCTAAATAAACTCCCTACCCACAGTCCATCTTTTGATCCCATTTGCTTTACTGTCCAATCAGGACCCATACTCACTCAAAATCAACATGTTGCCTAAGATCTGGTCATTCAATAAAGGTCTAATTAATTAAATTAAATGCCAACAATGTCCTGAGTTGAGTGATGGCTTAGTTCACTCTAGTTACTAAAGCAAGGTGATCACTGCAGGTGTTGTGTTCTGCTATTACCATTTCAAATGATCAAAGTTTGCTGTGCCGGTCATTGATGTGGTTTTTAGGCCTTGACATTAGGGTTGGACCATTGATTGATATTCTCCCTTAGCAGCTTGTATAGTGCTCTCCAAAGTTATGAGACCTAGCCTTCAGGGGAGGAGGCTTCTAGGTCAGTTCCAGCTCCATTGTTCAAAATTCTGTCTTCAGCAAGAGGGTCTTACCTTCAAGTTCTGGAAGGTAATCAAGGGCTGTGGTAATAGCTGTATAATTTTGGGAGTCTCTTGGATTACCTTGGTTAACAACTCAAAGGAAGGTTTCTCCTGTCTGTCACTGTTTCTTGTTATGTAGCCTGCAGCTATACACGTGGACTTATGCAGAGATATTTTATGTTAATTTTCAGTAGGTTTTAGGACTAATATGATTCCCTCTGGCTTTTTATACTAGCTAGGCATTATTTATCTCTTCTCTTTCTTTTCCCTGAGAAATATGAAAACCTGTAACTGCAAACAGGGTAGCTTTATACAAACTTAACATAAGCTTTGTGAAATAACTTACTGGAATTAGTAGCTTATTACTTAAATAGTAAAATATAATAGTCCCACTACTTTGAGACTTTATACAGAAATGAAACATGAAAAGATGTATTGTATTAAGTCAAAGATTTTTAAATGTTTTACCTAAAGCGCCTCCCACGCTGCTGGTTCATTTTTGCTCGAGGAGCCACACCATCAACAGCCATAAAGAAAATTTTCCTAGGTTTAATAATGCGAAACAACACCTCCAAGTAATGAAAAATGTCAGTAAATATTTTATCATCTGAAATTCTGAAGTGAACATCATCATCATTAGGATGGGAGCACTGATGTATAATTCCATTCATGTCCAGGTACAAGTTGTCAAACTCTGGAATCTAAAAAGCAAAGGAGTACACTTAGGTCAATATAATCAGTCCTAACTATTTTAGCATCTGGGAAAAGTGACTATTTAATGGTTAAAAAAGAAGGTGCAATATATTCTGCTTATATAAAAAATGAACAAAACACAATTGAATAAAGTAAAGGAAAACAAACAAAAGGAACTAATGTAGACACATTATGTGGTTATATATCAACGGTTTGATAATTTACTCTGAGGAAATAATTTATTCAATGTAAGGGCCTCAGGAAAACACCAAATAAGGTACTTAATTCATTTGGTATTCAAAATAGTTTCCTCTTTTTGTTACACGGCATCTCAAAGTCTTGATTTCCTCTATAAATAATACTCATTTAAATTAAAGGCTGTTATACAAAGGTTATTAAAAGGTTTTATAAATGTGGTGGCTTGTTCCCCATAGGCACAGATAGTAGAACACCCAGCTGTTGGTGGTTGGTGGCACTGATGGGAAGATTATGGAACTTTCAGGAGGTGGAGCCTTGCTGGAGGAAGTACCCTACTGGGGCAGGACTTTGGAAGTTTATAGCTTCATCCCACTTCCACTTTGTTCTCTCTGCTTCTAATTCGTAGTTGAAGATGTGATCGCTCAGCTTCCTGCTCCAGGTGCCTGATACCATGTCTCCCCACCTCCAACCATAAGCCAAAATAAACTTTTTTCCATAAGTTGCTTTTGGTCACAGTATTTTATCACAGTAAAAATAGCTAAAGCAATGTGATTATTTTTATTTATGTGTACATGCAGTGAGATTATGTACATCAAATGCGTGCAGGTACATAAGGAGGTCAGAGGCAATCAGATCCCCTGGATCTAGAGTTACAGGCAGTTGTAACCTGACATGTGGGTGCTGGGATTCAACCTGGGACCTCTGCAAGAGCAGCAAGTGTTCTTAACCAATGGGCCTCTCTTCAGCCCCCTTTACAAGTAAAGCCTTTTTTGTATATTTGGTTTCACTTAAAAGGACCCATTTAATTTTTATGTTATATTAATTTTTAAAAGCTTAAATTCAAAATTACCTGATGTGAGAAGCTTGACTCAAGCTGCTACTGTGGGAGCATAGTGAGCATGATTCAAAGGAATTACAGCAGTTGAGGAGGTGTCTTAATTTTTAAAAAAATTTTATTTTTATTTTATGTGTATGCGTGTATTTCCTGCATGTACGTAAGTGACCCCATGTCATGCGATGCCCATGGAGGTGAGAAGAGGCTGTCAGATCCCCTGGGACTGGAGTTATGGATAGTTGTTAGTGGTCATGTGGGTGCTGGGATTCAAACCGGGGTCTTCTGCAAGAACAACCAGTGTTCTTAACCGATGAGCCATCTCTCCAGCCCCAATTTTTTTAATTAAAAAATAAAAAATCTTACATGATCATTTTTTGTTCCCTTTTTCTCATAGGTTTCATCTCTGAAATATTTTTTCATTTATTTCTAATTTTCTCTAGATTCTGTAATGTTATTTCTGAGTTCTTATAACAGATAAATATGGTTCTTTCATGTCTTATATAATTTTCTTAGTGCATTTTAGCTTATTCTGAAACAAAAAAAAAAATCAGTTTTGTTGTGTTGTAGGCATGTTTTTATAAGTTTCAAATGTCTGTAGGGAAGTTTTTCTGCTTATTTTTTTCCTATCATATTTAAATTGGAGGAATGGTGGAGAGATGGCTCAGTGGTTAAGAGCACTGGCTGCTCTTGCAGAAGACCCAGGTTTGGTTCCTAGAACCCACATGGTGGCTAACAACCATCCATAACTACAGTTTCAAGAGATCCAAGACCTCTTCTGTCTTCTGTGGGCATTATACAATGCAAGTGCACTTACATACATGCAGGCATAACACTCATACACATAAAATAAAAGTAAATTATTTTTTCAAAATTTTATTTATTTGCATTTTATGAGAATTTTGTGTGCTGAGCCATCTCTCCAGCCCCTCTTATTATAATTTTATATGTTTTTTTTTCTTGGCTTCCTATCCTCCATGATAGACTGGTACCTCTGAAAGGCTCGCTTCTTCTACATACTCCCAACTGTCACAGGGTTCTGCCTGAGTACATGGGCTAAGGGACCATGAATCATACTGATCATTTGGGGGTAAAGTTCCAAGGTCCAGATTGCAGAAGAAAAAAGCAGTCAAGAAACTTCATGAGACATGACCTCCTCACCTCTTAGAGCCTAGGCTCCACATTTAATTTCTTGAGTAATTTTGATTCATTTCTTGTAACGATGAACTCACTATGGTAGATTTAAGATATGAAAAAAAGCTTCAACATCTTCATGGTTATCTCAATAGATGCAGAGAAGGCCTTTGACAAAATTCAACATGCATTTATGCTCAAAGTTCTAGAGGGACTTGGACTGGAGGGAACATACCTTGACATAATTAAAGCCATAAATAACAAACCCACAGCCAATATCATTCTAAATGGAGAAAAACTGGAAGCATTCCCAATAAAATCAGGAACCAGACAAAGGCTGTCCACTATCTCCACTCCTTTTCAATATAGTGCTTGAAACTCTTGCTAGAGCAGTAAGACAAAACCAGCAAATTAAAGGAGTAATAATTGGAAAAGAAGACATCAAATTATCCCTTTTTGCAGACAATATGATATTATACCTAAGAGATACCAAAATTCCACCTGAAAACTCTTAGAAATGATTATTACTTTTAGTGAAGTGGCAGTTTACAAAATTAATCTACAAAAGTCTGTTGCTTTTAAAATAAAATATCTTGGGATAAACCTGACCAAAGACATTAAAGACCTCTACAATGAAAAATTTAAATCTTTAAAGAAAGAGATTGAGGAAGACATCAGAAGATGGAAGGACCTCCCATGCTCATGGAATGGAAGAATTAATACTATGAAAATAACCATGCTACCAAAAGCCATTTATAGGTTCAATGCAATGCCAATCAAAATCCCCATGACATTTTTCATGGAATTGGAAAAATAACCATCCTAAGATTCATATGGAAGCACGAAAGACCTCGGATACCCAAAGCAACCCTGAGCACTAAGAGCAATGCCGGGAGGGTTACTATACCAGATTTTAAGCTGTATTACAGAGCTATAGTCATAAAAACAACATGGTACTGGCACAAAAATAGGCCCATAGATCAATGGGATAAAACTGAAGACACAAGTATGAGTACATACAATTTCAGCCACCTGATATTTGACAAAGGGGCCAAGAACATTCATTGGAGGAAAGGCAGCAAGGTCAGCAAATGGTGCTGGCAAAACGGGATCTCCACCTGTAGAAGAATGAAACTAAACCCCTATCTTTCACCTTGCACAAAAGTCAACTCCAAATGGATCAAAGACCTCAATGTCTCATTCACCCTCCCAGCTCCCCTCCTAGCCTGGGTACTGGCCCATTTCTTGTCTTGGAAACACAGACTCCTGGACTGACCTCTAGGCCCAGAATCTCCACTGCTTCCTGATCCTTTGCATCCAGACCAGCCCAGTTCCTCCCAGTAGTCCCCAGGAGCCCTTGGGACCTCTTCCCACCACCACCTCCCTTTGCATCCCTGGGTGGCACAGCCACCAGCTTCCTGAGACCAGCATATTTGAACTCAAGACAGAATATATAATGAACTCAAAAACAAAGAATCAAGAAAGGAAGTAACCCAGTTGAAAGATGGCTAAGGAGCTGAACAGAGAGTTCTCAAAAGAAGAAATAAAGATGGCCAAGAAGCAACTTAAACGCTGTTGACCATCACTAATAATTAGGGAAATGGAAATTAAAACTAAGCTTTGTCTACATAGCACATGGTAATTAAAAGTAACAGATTGGTGGAACTAACCTTCTTGGATGCCTAACAGCCGTACTTTGAGGCCTATACTAATTTGGTCAGAGGGACATAAAAGACATTTTTTGATCCAAAATGATACCAAATGTTGGAGAGGATGTGGGGAAAGGGGAACACTCATCCACTGCTGGTGGGGCTGCAAACTGGTTCAACCCCTATGGAGAGCAGTGTGGAGAACTCTTAGAAAACTACAAATGAACCTACCATTTGACTCAGTTATACCACTCCTTGGCATGTACCCAAATACAATATACCTATTGCAGAGACACTTGTACATCCATGTTTGTTGCTGCTCTTCTCACAATGGCTAAGAGATGGAAGCAACCTAAGTGTCCCTCAATTGATGAGTGGATAATGAAAATGTGGTTCATTTATATGATGGAGTTTTACTCAGCAGTAAAGAAAGATGAAATCATGAAATCTGAAGGTAAATGGATGGAACTAGAAACTGTTATACTAAGTAAAGTAATACAGACTCAGAAAAAACAAAAACAAAACAAACAAACAAACAAACAAACAAATCCTATGTTCTCCCTCATATGTGGTTCCTAGCACCAAATCCTGGTGAGTATGTATCCAGACATAACCACAGGAACCAGGATAATGAAAAGAAACCAGAGCAGTAAAGGAAAAGAAGGAACCTGAGAGAGAAAAACAGTAGGAAACAGGCGTTAATAAAGGAGATATGGGTGCTGGAGAGATGGCTCAGTGGTTAAGAACACTGGCTGTTCTTGCAGAAGACCCGGGTTCAAATCCCAGAACCCACATGGCAGCTAATAACTGTCCATAACTCCAGTTCCAGAGGATCCGACAGCCTCTTCTCTCCTCCGCGGGCATTGCATGACACATGTGCACTTACCTATATGCAGGCAATACACACATACACATAAAATAATAAAATATTTTTAAAAATTAAGGGCGATATGGATAAAAATGAGTTTATTTTGAGGGAAGGGGGGGAGAGGAAGGTTATACAAGGAACCTAGGGGATAAAGGGAAAGAAGGAGCTCAACAGAGTCGGGACCATAGGGAAAAATGGGGGCACCTTAAATGGAGAAACCTTGGTGGAAGGGTTAGACAATGTGAGCGATAACTAATGCCTAGCTAGTTTTAAAAAACCAGAGGGAACCATATTAGGCCAACAACCTACTGACAAATTATACATACAACTAGATCAAGGAATATAATATATGCCTAGGAAAGGTTTATCCAAGAACCTTTGGCCTTTGCCCAAGCTTCATCTACATGGCACATGGTAATTAAAAGTACCAGACTGGTGGAACTAACCTTCTTGGATGTTTAACAGACATACTTTGAGGCCTATACTAATTTGGTCAGAGGGACATAAAGGACAGTTTTTTCTCCTTGCCCTCCTAGGTTGACTAGTTACAGGATGTGGGAGACAGGCTTGAGCCTAGGGTGAAAGTCCTAATGACAGCCACACAGCAGGCCTGAGGCAACGGCCCAACCACTGGAGCCACAAGAAACGCCTTGTGACATTTGCTTCCATTGGCAGATCATGG